AGTCAATGTTGGGTCAACACCTTCTTTATTTCACTGCAGTCAGAAGCAATTTATATCGTGGGATCGGGCCACCTTCCGCTTGGTGTGCCGATCCTACTTTTGCAAAGTTCGTTGATTTCTTTCCTTCCCTGAAGCTTTTTCCTTCCTTTTTCTTTTGCTATTCTTTCTTTATTTTTCTTTTCTTCAATTCTTCTCCATTTCCATCAAATTAAAATATTAAAAATTTAAGTGCACTTTTACTTTTCCTTATCCTCAATTTAAATTATAATAGAGTCTACTTTTTATTCTTTATCAATACATAACAAAAGTTTAATAATCTAAATAAAATAAGTACATTGCATATTATATTCATGCACTATTTTTTAATATCATATATCTTATATATATATATATATATATATATATATATATATATTCATACATTTTTTGTAATATATTTTTATATGCATACACTTTTTCTATAATATATTTTTTTTATCACTTTTAAATGTTTTTAGAGGTTTTTAAGACATTGAGAGGCCGTTTGGTAACACTGTTTATCGGCTTATCAGGCTTATCAGCCAACTTTTTCACCAAACACATAACTTTTGCTTTCACGCGCTGAAATGTGTAATAAGCAAAAAAAGTAAGGTTGGAGTTACTTTTCTGGCTGTATTGGCTGAAGTTACCTTAGAAGACCATTTTAGCTATTTTTACATATAATTTTTTCTTTATTTTATTAATAAAATATATTTTAAAAATATTTTTCCTTAAATCAGCAGAATCAGCCAATGCAGCCACTTCAGCCAGAACTTCATAAATTTAAGCAGAATCAGCCAAATCAGCCGATTTTCGTGCTACCAAACGGGCTCTGAGTTTGTTTATTTTAATTTGAGCTTGGAGTTACATTTGATAATATACAAAGTTACATCATTTTATGCTCAAGTTACATGTTATTATGCGTGAGTTACATCATGTTATGCGTGAGTTACATATTCTTATGCACGAGTTACATATTCTTATGCACGAGTTACATACTTTTTTGCGCGAGTAACATCTAATTATGCGTGAGTTACATCTAATTATTTGTGATATTGTACTTATCTTTTTTCTTTAACTAATTAAGTTACAACTGAATTCAGTTTTTTCATTATCGATTTAATACAAAATTTTATCAAACCACATAAATAAGTACTCCGTATATTGTATTTCATAATCACAAAATAAAACCCTTTTATTGAATAAAAGAACTTTTTTATATCGATTTTCTTTTGCAAAAAATGATTTTTTGGGGGGAAAATGATTTCTATAAACATTTTATGTTCTTAATATTAAAAACAAAACATATTCACTATTTCGGTAAAATAAATAAAAAATTACACTCCATTTTTATTGTTTACATTGAAATCATTGTTTTTGACAAGTTATATTTCGGCTTGTCTGCAGTAACATTTCTTATTAACGTAAGTTACATATCTTTACATGCGACTTATATCATTCATGCTACTGGACAAAAAGAAAGAAAGAACAGTTACTGTACACGCGTGTATTGTTCATGCGATTTTTTTTTTAAAAAATGTGTAAAACTACGTTGTTTTGGAAGTGGAAAACGATGATCACCGTGGGACGATACCACGGTATATGAACTGCAGTCCAATGTACCCGTCTTGGCCAGGGCTAGTTAGTCAAAACTCAGCCCAATTAGAAAAATTGTTCAGCCCATCGATCTAACTAACAGGCCATTTGGAACCCAATATAATAGTTAGTCTACTTAAAAATTGGTTTTACGTGTATTCCTTAATGAGATTCACGCAACCCGTCACCATATCAATCAATACTACACCACTCCGGCCCAAATCCCAATCATTTGAGTATACCAGCCCATATTCATTTAGTGTGTAGGAATCTAATCTATTTAATCTAACAACAATATATTTATGAATGATGATTGGTGACCTTAATTTCTGTCAATACATTTTACTATAAAAAATAGTACATTATGCTTATAAAGTGATACCTAATTTTTGAGGTGACTTTAATAACCCTACTCATTTAAACGTACGTTGCTTGACTTGCTTCATTTTTTGAGCTCTTCCGTAGTTCCGTTACTTCATCTGTGAAGAGAAGCAAGAGTTATTATATACGGAGTGTGTAGTATGTTTGACATTTCATGGGCGAATTACTTATATTCACAAGTACTTACTTTTAATATAAGAAATTTATGACATTTAGATAGTAATGTGTGAATTTTGAATAATTATAAATAGGAAGGCCTCCTATTTATAGGAAATGGGGGTGGGGGAAAAGCCTACCCTAATGGGTCAAGTTGGTCATAATGGGCCCAAAGGGTCGGACCATGCCTGATAGACTGAAAGGGGTCTCGTCATTCGGGCCCCGTACTGGGGCGAGGCCTTGTGCTTCTGAATAGTAACAGACTGGGATAATATACCTCAACAATTTATTAATAAAATAGAGAAAAAATTATACAAAAAACAATTAAAATGATCCTCTACACTAACTTCAACCATTACAAACAGAAAAGTAACTTCAATCTAACCTTTTCTTATTATTACATGATTCAGCATGTAAAATAAAAGTTACTTGGTTAGTGAAAAGTTGATAAACCTGATAAGTCGAAAAACATGCTTGGACCCTTAATTGACAATTAACACTAGTATTGTGGGTGCTCCTAAATCCTTTTTTTCTGAAAGGAAAAACAACTTATATTAATATGATTAGGATTCGGATTGTTACAACAAACTCAAAGAGACCAACACTGACAACAACTATCCGTAACCAATTAGCAATATCAACCCTACAGCTAGACTCAGAGACGATCACCCTTGAAAGAGCAATACGAATCGCTAACCATCAAACATGTGTGACACAACAATCACTAATCATGTAGATCCTTCTAACGACATGCTAGTAATATATAACAGAATTTTCAATCATTATTGTAGACCTAAAATTAAAAACATAAAAAAACAAAGGAACGTAAAACATAAAGCAAAAATAAGACCATAAAAAATAAAATAAATGATAAATTTTCCAAACCCTACTTCATTGATTGCTTCAAGGTGACAGTTCAGGACGGGGGGTGCCAATCTGTCTTCTCCCTTGCTCATCCCTACAGCTTCCCCGGTCTGCTCGTTGGCCGTGCCGCCTCCACTACAGCCACCGTCCTCCAGCCATGTTGATCCGCCAAGAACTAACCCTTCGACCTCCTCCTCATTTGTTGGAATAGGACAATGCTACTCTAGACGATCATGCATAGAAGTCATGCTCATCCTTTTTTGGCCCTGCACTTGATCAAAATGCCAAAGAAAAATTGATCCGCAGAAGTGCGGCTTACACCGCTCTTGACACGCGAGAGGAAAGCCTAACTCTCGACAAGCGAGGAAAAACCTAGCTCCCGATAATCAAGAACAACGGAAACCTACATGAGTCCTCTCTATCTAAGAATGGAAGGCTGCGGAGAAATTTCCATTATATAGGAAGCGATTTTGGGATAATGTACGCGGCTACGTATTGAGAGCTTCTCTCGGTGCTCTTAAATCTTTATAACCATATTTATACGAAAAGTAATTGCCCCAAATGGGACTAAAATATTGCATAAATTCCAAAATAGGACTATAAGTTTATTATTCTCAAAATAGGACTAAAGATTACACTTTTACCCCTGATTTAATTAAACCCACCTCTCTCTGCCTTCTGCAATTCATCGGCGATCCTTCCTCCCATCGATTATTATCGCCTCGCATCGCAACACCGTCTTCCGTAGCCCTGCACTCAGCGGCGACCAGGTAGGTTCTCCTCCTCCCCCTCCCCCTCCCCCCTCCCCTCCTCCTCCCTCGCCTCCGCCCCCTCCTCCTCCTCCTCCTCCTCCTCCTCTTCCCCCCCTCCCCCTCCCCCCCCCTCCGCCTCCTCCTCCTCCTCCTCCTCCCCCTCCTCCTCCTCTCTTTTGTGTTTTTATCAATCAAATTTGAAATAAAAGTTTGAATTTTGAAAGTTTCAAATAAAGATATGTCTGAACTTGAATATCTTGTTATCAATTTTGATTAATTTGAATCTCAAAATGCCCTGACTAATGATTCCAAAAAAATCACTTTTTGAATAAGAAAATGTCATTATTATTGGGTATTTTTACAAAATGACACTTTTACGTCATTACAATATTTGGAAATGCCATATTGTGAATGCCATTTTTCTATACAAAATTGTCATTATTGTGTCATTATGCATATTAAGTGGCATTCTCACATATCAAGTGGTATTCGTCATGGAGGTCTGCACAGAGTCACCAGAGGGCAGATGCTTGTCGAAGAATGATGGCAGTGTAGTCGCTCAGAGCGGTGGTGGTGACAGACTGGATGAAGGGTTGAGGATGCGCCATTGGTGGAGGCATCAACTAAACTGTTGAGGCTTGGAGAGTTGATGACACACACCTGCGCACAAGGGAACTCGCACAACCACTGCGAACTTTTAATTTTATTCATTAAGGGTAGTTTTGTCAGATTAACTCTTTTCGGTTCTATTTTTGTCCAATAAAACATAGTGGTCTTGTTTTTTGCAATTCTACCTTCTTTTAGTCCTATTTAGGAAATTCTCTCTTATACGAAAGATGAAGGTTATGTTTGTCACACATAAGTCTCTCCCTTCTAGCTTTTGTACTATTTAAAAAGTCCTTACAAGCTTCTAGTTGTATGTTTTGGCATGCCAATTTTTAAAAGCTTTTATAATTTTTTTTCCAGGTGCTACAGTGAGTAGCATCTCAGATAAATCTGTAGCTTCTAGCATTAATTAGTCCTAACACTTTGTATACCAAACAGAGCTAAATCAAACAGTCGGTTTTTTATCATACAACTGCTACCTTTTTCTTTTAAGATCTTTGCCGTCACTAAAAGCTAACAATTACTACAAAGCTTAGAAAAGTATCTTTTCAGTTAATTGTGCAAAACATACACGAAGTGTGCAAAAAATCAGAATTATGCAACCTAAATCTGATCTGCTGGTCTCCGTAGCTAGAATTGAGTGCACATATATATGACTTCACATATCACATATGTGTATGTATACATATAACGATTCCTGGATTAAAGATATATTACAAAGTTATTGCTTTTTTTTTTCAAGAAGCTACTAACCTAAAGATCATAGCTAGAATTAAATACATACTATACGGAGAATCAGATGACATTTAATTATAATGAAAAGCCTGGGGGCAGTTTGGCGCACTATTTCGAGCTCTTCTATGGTAATTCTTGAGACAGCCGCAGGCAGCACAAGTCAGGGCGGCAGAAGTTCCCTCTTCGCCGCCTGCCATGAACTCCTGACAGCCGTCCAGGACGGCGGCGTTTCCACCGCTGCTGGCGGCAGCGTGATTCCTGCGGCATTCGGCATACCGGTATATGCCGGAAGCATCTTCGGCAGTGTTCCTTCTGGTCGTGTCTCTCTTCTCCACCGCTTTGTTCTTCCTCATGCTACACTCGCTTCTTCAATTGATAATAATATAGTAATTGTATCTCAGGAGAAAGGAAATTGCGCTATTAGGAGTATAAAGTAATGTATTAGGAAACTAAATATAGCTACTAAAGCGCTTGGCACGTTAACAATATATACATACACGCGTGTGATGCCTTCCATTAATGATTTTCCTTAAATTAATGCACTTTTTAGATGTAGATGTTATGATTGGCGTTTTTAATAAAAAATTGAAAACATGGAAGACGACCAAGGAAATAAAGAAATAGAAATGTCATTTGTCAATGTTGTACTACCTCCGTTCCAATGATTGTCTCATTTTACCTTATCGATTCGTCCAACTAAGACAGTCTCATATCAAATTTGATAAACTTTGTGTGACTCTGAATCAATTTTACTTTATTCTTAGTATATATCAATTCAATATCAACCACATAAACCACTTTTTATTAATTTGTGTGTCACCTTATCTTGTCCCATTGTTAGCGAGATGGAGTGAGTATTTACCTATTTCTAGATATGCAATGTACACATTGTTGTGGGCGTTATAGATATCCTCCGTCCACTTTTATGTGACATATATACATGAAATCACTCAAATTAGAGATAAGCATTAGCTGCTATAATATCATTAACATATTTGATTTAATCTTGTGATTATCTCTTGTGATTGATTATTGTTATATGGAGTCTATATCTTTGACATATTTTCACTCAAACTCGATTAAGTCTTAGATTAAATCTGAATAGGCTTGATCGGTGACGTAACCAAGAGATTACTTTGGGTACTACGTACCATGTAAAGATTTTTTCAAATGACTTTTAAGCAAATATGGTTGATATTGAATTGATAAAGTAAAAATAAAGTAAAAATCATGTAGAGTAAAACAGATTAAACTTTATCAAATTTGATATGTTACAATTTTAGTGGAACGAAACACAAAGAAAAGATAACACAATCTTAGCGAATGGAATGAGTATATGTTATATGTATTCGAAGAAATGTGTAAAGTATTGTGACTTTTTATAGAGAGATTTCCCAAAATAGGAGTAAATGGAGTTTAGAATTTCAAAATAGGACTACTATGTTTTTATTCCCGAAATAGGACTAACATGGCAGTATTTACAGTCATCTTGTAGGCGTGATTGCCAAATAGTTGCAGTACAGTGCATTTAACATAACACTATTTATTATAATTAATGGCAATATTTTTCAATCATGACAGTATTTTTCATAGATGACATAACAACTCCTATTTCGGGAAGAAAAACATAGTAGTCCTATTTTGGAATTGTAAACCTCATTTAATCCTATTTAGGACAATTTCTTTTTTTTTGGTATCGGTCCATTCTAATACGAAATGTTTTGTGTTTGTTTCAACCCCAAGATACACTGTACTCCAGTAATATATATATATATATATATATATATATATATATATATATATATATATATATATATATATATATATATATATATATATATATATATATATATATACATATATATATATATTTACTTTATTTTATTTTATTTTCGTTTTCATTATGTAGTGTATTTGTTGCAAAATCTGATATGGAAAGTGATGAGTATGAGCTTAAGAGTCCGTTTAGTAATATCAAAATCGGCTGAATCAACTTAGGAGGTGTTTGGAACTGATTCTGCTTCTGCTTCTTTTTTAAAGCAGAAGCAGAATCAGAATCAGTTTTCAGAAGCTGGTACCCCCCAGCTTCTAAAAAAACTGATTCTAGGAGTAAATTAGAGCACCATAACCACTTCTTCATTTTCACCCAAACACTCCAATTTCTACTTCTGCTCCCTGAAGGAGCAGAAGCAGTTTTAAGAATCAGATCCAAACACCCCCTTATTCTGCTGAGACTTATGAATTTCCGATCGACGTGGCTTGATTGGCTGATTCTGCTGATTTATGTAAAAACTATATTCAAAATATATTTTAATGAATTAAATAGAAAAAATATATATGCAGAACAGCTAAAATGTTTCTCTACATTAACTTCAACCAATACAGTCAAAAAAGTAACTTTAACCTTACTTTTTCTTATTATTACAAAATCCAATACACAAAATAAAAAGGTAGGTGTTTGGTGAAAAAGTTGGCTAATAAGCCAAAAAACATTGTCACCATAATTGACAACGGACTTGATCCCTTACCAACGGATTTGTAACGTAATTCATAACTACTACTTCCTCCGTCCCGCTAACAATGGGACAAGAGGGAGTGACACGCAATTAATAAAAAGTGATTTATGTGGTTGATATTGAATTGATAAAATAAGAATAAAGTAATAATGATTTAGAGCCACACAAACTTTACCAAATTTGGTATGAGACAATCTTAGTGGGACGGACCGATAAGGTAAAATGGGACAATCATAGCGGGACGGAGGTAGTACTACGTATTTGTAACAGAAAATCAAGTAAAAAACATCCATTTTTTGCTTTGATAAAGCGTGAGTATTTATTTAAGAATGTAACATAGTTGATATAATTACGAAAAAGATAAATGATACCATCTCCGTCAAATTTTAGTTAGCCATCATTATTTTTTCTTGTTCATAATATAATAAACTTTGACTAATCTTTTTAACACACTTACATAATACTCCATATATTTTAGTGAAAATTATACTACGTAAATTCTATACTTTTATAATTGTATTTTTAACAAAGAATATTTTCATATCACTTTCATATTGAAAATACTTTTATATATAAATATTATATAAAAATATTATCAATCAAAATATTGCATCTGTTGAAAAAATGTGTTCAAATTGCATTAAATGGTCAATTTGGGGAAGAATTTAGAGTGGGTCTCACTTTCGATTTGGATCAGGTAAAAGTGGTTTCAGATTCTCCTTGTTAAGAGCTTCGATTTGATATATGCTACACTCAAAATGGATAATGGGTGAATGAGTTTCTAGAAAATGGAGAAAACTATGAATAAGATGAGTTTGTAGTGTGACTTATCCCACACCGAAAAACTCAATAGATTTTCACCTCCTTATAAAGGTGATTCTCTTTGAAGGAGTTAAGATTCCTAAGTTCTTCTAGTTTTATATAATACTACAACTACACCATTTAATTTTTGTTTATTCCTGTAACGTTCCTATTTTTTTTCCAGAATCAGCGGGTTGAAAGAGAAGGCTTTTGTTTGCACCAGAAGCGCCTTCTGTTCCGTCGCACCAGAAACACCTTCTGTTATGTCGCAATAGAAGCGGGTTCTGTTTTGAACTGTTACAACCTTTAATGCCCAACATTCTTCTCTTTTAATGCGTCTTTAAATGGAGAGGTTTTCAACATATTAATGTCCAACGTTTTGATCATTTATGTCCAACGTTCATGTCCATTAGAGCTCACTTAACACACAATAAATTCATCCCTATATATAGTTGTCAGGTGATTTGCAACAATTAGCACGTAGTTTTTGAGCTAAAATTTGCCTACAACTCTCAGAAAAATCCTCAGTGTTCATACTTTAATTTGTTTCCGTTCGCCGGAAGAAACGATTGTATTTGTTTGTAGCCACCGTATCTTGGGAAATATCGCTGCAACACTTCTAGCATCGTAGGAGGTGGCGAATAGGTTTTAAGGAAATTGTGCATTGCACAAGCTTTGACTTTCTGCCCCTTCTTATTTCGATTTCTCTTGACTATTTTATTTAATTATTTTTTTTATTTTCTGTTAAATACGTCAATTCTCCCAAGAGTATCTTTGTCGGGAAGGCTTAGGATGTTTTTACTTGGACTATAATTTGCTGGTCTGGTCTGGTCTGAACTGGTCTGGTCTGGTCTGGTTTCTTTGTATTTTTAAAACTATCCAAGTCTGGTCTGATCTGAACTGGTCTGATCTGGTATGGGAGGAATTGTAGTCCAAGTAAAAACATTCTTAAAATAAAAAAGCGGAGTATGATATAGTACATAAATATAAAGTTCTAGTATTAAAATGAATTTTATATGCAATGATGTCTTGTCATAGTAATTGACTCAGCTGCTACTCTTTTTAACAGTGTTTTAATGATATCCATTATTCCTATTTATATACTCCCTCCCTGATTTAATGTTCACTGCATTAGGTTGGAGACAATATTTAAGCAGTAAAGTAGTAAGGGTAGTGAATAGTATAGATAAAGTAAGGGTAGTTGAGTACGTATTTTATAAAGGTAAACTTACCAAAAATGAAAGTGTAGAGAACTTTTAATTACAGCCTAAAAAGGAAATTGTAGGAAACTTTTAAATACGAAGTGAGTAATTATAATTATTAATAATGATATATTTTGTAGGAACTAATAAAAACTTATTATTTGAGCTTGGGAGATATAGTCAAATAAACCGCCAGAAATAAACAAATTAAAAATAACGGAAAGAAGCTAAGAAAAAACTTAGAAAATAAAAAGATGGAGACTGCAGAAATGTGCACAGTGATCACGTCGAGAGAAAGATCGAGACCAAATTAAAATAGCCGCAAAGTAGAGAAATGGGGACGAGGAGGTTCTACATATATGTGTATGTGTTAAGGTTCGTACTTCGTAGGCTTTCTATACTATAATGGAGTAATAAACTAGGGGATCCAGAAAATTACAATGGGATGGATTGAGAAATAAAATTTGAAGACACATACATAATAATATGTCAAGTCATCACACCTTAAATATTCATCAAAACATCATTTAAGTTGTGTCATACGTGACTTCAAAGTATAAAATTCATGAATAATAGAATTTATATTTATATTATTGATAAATTCTCGTTCAATGTAGATCATCAACGCATCTTCAAGAAAATCTTCTCTCATTTTGTTACGAAGTGTGATCTTCACATGCTTCATTGCTGAAAAACATTTTAAATATTGGTGTGAGTTAAAATACTTGTATAAAATTATAAAAATAATAATAAGAAAAAAAAAACGATCGTTGTACATAAACCTAATAAGTATTCCCAATTTCAAAATTTAATTCGAATTTTCATTTCGTTCTTACATAACCACATAATAAATAAATCATTCTCGACTCTTCAATTGTATAATAAATAAATCATTCTACAATTTTTAATTCTATCTTTAATCATCTCTTCAAAAAAATCTATCTTTAATCATTATATGTTTACAATGAATTAAACACTATTTTATAATGCACTGAAAAATTCAATTGATAATCAAATTGATTCTCTAACCTTAAAAATAATAATACACAATA